ACGTGCGCCGAGAACTTATTGACTATTTTTGGTGAGGCGATGAACGAACACTAGTGACATTTTAATATAAAATAAGTCAAGACCTCCTCTGAACAAGTGAGATTCTAAGGGTGGTTAAGAAACTTACAAATAAGTAACGTGAAAAAGTGAGATTTTCACAGGTTACCAGCACAAGTGAGACCTTTCCTGAATCAAGATCTTAATTGACAAAAAAAGTGAGACTATGGTCAAGATCTTTTCCAAAATTTTTGAGTGAGACTCATAAGCTGGCATTATTCTGAACAAATTGTGAGACACGTGCAAAACTCCTGTCTGTCTATGTGTGTGTGTCTGTCTGTGTGTATGTTTTTGAAGTGACAGGCTGATCCTGTGGAGGATCCTTGGCTGTACTAACAGACGGGACCCGAAGCAGATTTGCTTACAACCTTTTTTTAAACTGAGTTTGGGTTAAGTGAATCTTTTGGATCTGGGGAACAAAGACTGCAGCTTTGTTTGTCAGACAAGATAGTACCCACTAACGGCACAGGAAAAAGTGCTAAAATACCCTCGTCTTCTTCGCCTGTAAGCTTACTGATCATTATGAGTTTACAGATAACTGTTCACTATCTTTTGTTCCGGATTTTATAATGTCCTTCTAGCTGACCGCTGACTTTTTCTGTTATCTGAAGTGCTGCCGGCTCTCTGTCTGGGAGGCCACAAGCACACACACACACACGCTCGCAACCACGTCACATTGCACTGAAGCTTTAAGCTGCATGACGTGCACTAAGAATGTTATCCAAATTTAGATAAAACACTGCATGATGTTAAAAGATAGATTGACTTTGATTTTCAGTGGCTTGTCAGTTCTATCAGAAATAAGTCAGTTTTTGTTATAAGTACTATCTACATCAGGTAAGATGGTTACTGTTTATAATCTTCCTCAACTATCCCTTAAACTGTCTGAATTCACTTCATGTCAAGAGAATGGCTCTGACTTTGAGTACCATGTCATGACAGTGATTGTTGCTTAACTAGAACAAATTTGAGATGTCTGAATTATAGTTCAGGATTTATATTTTTAAGGTTGTGGCGATGAGTTTTTAATTAAGAATTGAAAGTAGCAGAAAACAGTTCTGACCTTTGAAACCAAACCCTTTCAGGGTGGTTGGTGGTTTCCCTCTTCAAAAAGGTGGACCGAGGGATGTGCTCTGGGGGCATCACTCTCCTCAGCCTCCCTGGTAAGGTCTATTCAGGGGTACTGGAGAAGCAAGTCCGATCGTTGGTCGAACCTCAGATCCAGGAGGAACAATGTGGGTTCTGTCCTGGCCATGGAACACTGGACCAACTCTTTATTCTCACTAGGGTCCTTGAGGGGTCATGGGAATTTACACATCCAGTCTACATGTGTTTTGAGGACTTGGAGAAGGCATTTGACCGTGTTCCTTGGGGTACATTGGTGGGGGTGCTCCACGAGTATGGGATTGGGGACCCGTTGTTATGGGCTGTTCAGTCCCTACACAAGTGGTGCGAGAGCTTGGTTCGCATTGCCGGTAGTAAGTCAGACCCCTTCAGGGTGAGAGTTGGACTCCTCCAGGGCTGCCCGTTGTCAGCAATTCTGTTCATATTTTTTATGGACAGAATTTTTTGGTGCAGCCAGGGGGGTGGAGGGTTTCCGGTTCAGTGGCCTCAGGATTAATTTCTACTCTTTGCAGATGATGTGGTCCTGTTGGCGTCATCATGCCGTGATCTTCAGCTCTCACTCGAGCGGTTCACAGCCGAGTGTGAAGCAGCTGGGATGAGAATCAGCACCTCCACATCTGAGACCATGGTCACTGGTGAAGATTCTCAGTCATCCAGGACATGGTAAATTCAAAAAAGTTCAAGATAAAAACTAGTGAACTTTATTTGTAAAATAAGACGTTTCGCTTCTCAAATACATCTACACTCATCTCCAGGCCAGCGGTCACTCTTTCAGGGATGAAGATGTTCACATCCTGGACAGAGAGGAACGATGGTTTGAGAGAGAAGTAAAGGAGGCCATCTTTGTGAAAAGAAACCGTCCATCATTAAACAGGGGCGGAGCCTCCAGGTTCAACTGTCCCCCTCTTACAATGCTGTGATTGCTAGTATCACTCAACCCTCTGTGAACAGTAAACAGCCATCAGGTGCTAATGATCCATTGTTAGGCTGATGGTCCTTCTTGAGCATGTGATCAGCTGGTTCTGGTTGTCAGCAGCAAAACTGGTTGATCCACTCTGAGAAGGTGCTATTTAAGAGACTGAGCTGAATACAGCACCTCAGACTGAGGAAGTCCTCAGGATGAGAGACGAAACGTTTCTAGATTTTTTTTATTTTTTTTACTATCCAGAGGACCAGATTTAACTTTTTTAGATTTTTCTACCTGGATTATTGAGCATGCATCAAGATGTCATCTGGACAGTTTCTTTTTTGTTGTTGAAACATTTCACCGTCCATCCACAAGGCTTCATCATGTCGATGAGGAAGAGGGCCGGCATCGGAGAAGGGGGCGTGCCAAAGGCACCATCTTAGCACCAACATAACTGGTTTGTTCCACTTTGGAGTAAGCTGTTGGGGGAAGAATCAGTTTTGTTGTGTGTTTCCTTGACTGATGAAGCCTTCTGGATGGAAGGTGAAACGTTTCAGCAAAAAAAGAAACTGTCCAGATGACCTGACTGAAAAATGTTGTATTGTATACCTGGATTATTGAGCATGGACTTTTTTGATTACTAAATATTATTACAAAAAAAACATTAAAAACATTATTAAAAACATTAAAAAAAACATTATTAAAAACATTAAAAAAATTATTAAAAACCATTTATTAAATAATGATATGAAAGTGTTTCAGTGGCAACAAACTGATTTACAGCACGTTTATTTCAAATCAAGGACACATTTGTCTCAGGTCTCACCAGTTGAACATCCAGCAAGATTAAACTCAAATCAATGTTTCTCCCTAAAAAGAGCCAAAATAAATAAATAAATGAATAAACACTCATTGATCAAAGATTACAGATTGTACCGTTCCATAAAGCAACTCAAAGAATAATCTGAACTCGTGTGATACACGAAGAAACGTCAGTGAGACACAAAAACTCGAGAACAATAAGAAGAGCTCGTTAAGACAACTCGTTATTTAAATAAACTTAATATATTAAGAGGAGCAACAGTGGTGGACTGTTTTAATTTCAAATCATTTCTACATTTTCACAGTAAAAAGGTCAAATTCATTTAGCCTTTATTTATCCAGGTTAGTCTCACTGAGCCACGAGAACTCATTTTCAAGAGAGACCTGTTTTAGGGAGCACATGGTGGGGGTTAAGGGCCTTGCTCATGGGCGCAGAGTGGGGCGAATGAGGGTGGGGGCAAGTGTGGGTGTTTCACCTACCCCACCCACAATTTTTTGATGTTGTCGGGGCCGGGGCGTGAACCGGCGATCTTCGGATCACAAGCCCACCTCTCTAACCTCTGCGCCACCACTCCCCAAATCAAATTCTTCTTGCCTGAGGACATAAAGTCTGACAGAATGTTCTAGAAGAGTCCACACCAACAGAAGAGAAATGACCAACATGTTTAGAAGCTCCTGCACCTTTGAAGGTTTTAGCTCATTAAACGTTTTATTTCTTCACAAACAATGAGCATTATTGAAAACTTCTCTGCAGACGAACCTTCAGAGGACCAGTCAGCTCCTGGACTCTGCTGGTACGACTGTCAGCTACTACCAAGGCTTTGGAAAACTCCACTTACGACCATTCCATTTAAATCCATCCACTGGTTCAAAAGATATTTTGCTAAGAGACAAATAAACACGATTGTCCGTCTTTCATGAAGGTGAGACAAGGTGGACTCTTTGACATGCTGTCCTCTGAGAGACGACAGCTTCTGATTGGAGCATTTCACATTGAACACCAGAATTCTGATATTTTCAGAAAGTTGAGACTTGAAACTTGTTCTTCGTCTGAAGCTGGACCAAAGAACGCAGCAGAAGAGAAGACAGAAGGTCAGGATGTTCTGCGGGAGTCCAGTCCTGCGGTTGGAGACAGTTCCCCGGACCGCTGTCTCGGTCCAGAACTGGACAGTTCCAGGTTTCTAAATGCTCTGAGTTGTGTAAATTCACGTGCAGATTAAAGTTCACGTCCCTCATGGAGAGATATTTGGGTCAGCTGCAGGACTCGGACCGGAGCTGACTCAGATCCTGGAAGGTTCTGGAAGTTGACATGTGGGCCCTCCTCCTCTGTTTGATGCGGGATGAGCTGTCAATTATCTGTTCCGGACACCAGCCCAGTCCAGACGACCGCAGGTCTGGAGAGTTCTGACCTCAGAGGGACGTGCTGGGCTCTGTGGAGTCCAGTTCTGATGACAGAACGTCAGACAGAAGGTTCTGATCCGTGTGGGCTGACTTCCTGTTAGTGTTGAGGCTTCAGTCTAAAAACAGAACAGCGTCCTCTCTGCTGGGTCTGGTGCTAGCTTCTACTTCCTCAGGTATCGTCCATAAATCAGAGCCAGTGGCCCAGTATTGTCCGCCTGACAGACTTCAGAGTTCTCATTTCCACATCCTCCATGTTGAGACAGGCCAGTCCTGTCAATAGATCCCACAACCTGTCTATATGTGAAGGAAGTGTTGGAGGTCTGCTCCATGGTTCTGAACTGAGGAAAAATGTCTTCAGGGTAAAGTCCATTTATTTTTCTGGGGAAGAATATTCCACGTCTGCATGACTGAATCCACACCAGCATCAAGAAGTCACCAGTTTATTGTTGTCCAACCAGAAATAATTGCAGATAATAAATAATTACAGATAATAAATAATTACAGATACAGAGCAGTAGTTTGGTTCTGGTCCAGTTCAGCGTTTCAAAAAGCAACAAACATTCATTGAGATGGACACACACAGGAACACACACCAACCCAGCTGATGCTTCTGCACCATCTAGGTTCAGTCCAAGTCCAGGTTCTTAGTGGACTCAAGGGTCAGACCAGGTCTATGTTCTCTGAGCAGGAACTGTCAGATCTGCTCTTTGAAGGCTCCTTGAGCAGCGGTGGAGGCAGCGTTGGCAGCAGCCGTCTGGACCGTCTTGTTGGACATGACGCCGGTGGCGAACTCCTGCTGGGCCTTCTCAAAGCTGGCGCCGGTGGTCCGGTACAGCATGTGGACCTGAGGTGTGGATGAGAAGAATCAGGACCGTCACAGACTAGCCCTGAATGTTTTGTCCATCTGTGGAAGTTCTACCTTTTTAAACATGATGAGGGCGAGGACAGCCAGGGAGGTGAAGAGCGCTGCAATGATGATCATCAAGATGCCGACTGGGACGCTTCTGTTCAGAGCGGTCAGAGCAGAAATCCAACCACTGTGGAAAAGAACATGGTTAAATACCAACACGGGACTGTTTCTCCATGAAGAACATCGTCACAAACCAACAGAGAATTGTTGTTCCATGAAGAACATCGTCACAAACCAACTGAGAACTGTTTCTCCATGAAGAACATTGTCACAAACCAACAGAGAACTGTTTCTCCATGAAGAACATCGTCACAAACCAACAGAGAATTGTTGTTCCATGAAGAACATTGTCACAAACCAACAGAGAATTGCTGTTCCATGAAGAACGAAGTTAGAAACCAACAGAGAACTGTTGCTCCATGAAGAACGTAGTTACAAACCAACAGAGAATTGTTGTTCCACGAAGAACGTCGTCACAATCCAACAGAGAATTGCTGTTCCATGAAGAACGTAGTTACAAACCAACA